GCCCATATACAATGTGCATGGTTTCGGAAGTATTTACGAAGAATCCCCTCCAGTCAAAACTCTTTCTTACATTGATGTTATCTAAAATGTCTGACTTTGACTTAACTGCTAGTACATGGGCCAAGATTGTTGGTATACAGGTGTTTTCACATTCCTCTATTGAAGGGAGAGATTACTACAAAATTAGATTCAAAAGTCCCCATGCAACTAGATTAGATATTATAGCCAATAGCTGTCTAAAATGCAAATTACGTAAGTATTGACAGAGAAGTCTTTAACACAACACTGGCTGTAGGAACCGAAAACCTCCAGCTAAGCTAACTAAGCTATTTCATTAGCAAACTAAACTTTGATAGCAAACATGGTTGAGTGTGCAATTTTTTAGATACACTCCCTGGAGCTTCCTTTTACATCCGCAAAAAAGTCCCATGTATGATTGCGTGTTTAACAAACACTAATGTCAGCCATTGCAAGTACAAGCTAACAAGCTAATAAAATATGCTAACTACACTTACCATTCTGATGACCTTAGGGGAATTCATCCACAGAAAACACACTGGACGCTGCACTAGGTCAGAAACCAGAGGAGACTGTGTCACCATAGACGGACCACTTTTGGACAAAATGTCCTCTCCATTAAAGGCAGCTCATTGTGGAATAGCCTCCCAACTGAGATACGGGATTGTCCCACTCTCAATAGTTTTAAAGGACAACTTAAAGAATGGTTGAGCAACAAATAGACGTGTAATCACCGCTAAATGCACTTTTATACAGGGGTATCTCCTCTTGCACTTTATGTAGCACTTTTATCTTATCTTGCACTTTATATATCATAGCTGCTACATTGTACTGCCATGTGGTAAATGCTTATATGCTGCTCATGCTCTTTCTGTATGTCATGTATTTATTTTTGCTATGTACAGTATATAAACGTCATGTTCTTGTATGTAAAAATGTCTGTTTTCTATTTTGGTGCACAACTGACTCCTCATCTGAATCAAACACGTATGGCTGAATCTGTCCCACGTTTCCCCCAAAGAAAATAAAACAAATACCAAAAATGTCCCTGTGAAGCTCCACCACTCTCGCGACCGCCATGTTGCACAGGTAACCGCGCGCGAGCAGTGGTGGGCGGGGCTAAAGAAGGTGTGCTCTAAGCTTCAATAATTTTTTTATTTTTGTATTTGTATGTCTGAAAACCATGTCAAACTAAATATTAACCTTGGGAGAGTATTATAACATACTTTAAATACACTTAACATGTTTCGGGGGGGATACAATAATACAATGGAAACATTTATTAATTAGCTTACAAGAAGGTTTTAGGCCTATACACTCAACATTTTTATTTTACATTGTGTAAAACTGTATATATAATAAGCAACATTAAGTATAGCAAAGTAGAAGGGCTCCTCTCTGAATGTTTTTGTTGTTGTTGTTGTTGTTATTTGTTCCATGTTGTACAGGCTTTACAAGCAGTATTTTAATATAGTTAACTAAAATTAAGAAATTAGGTTCAGAAAGTTAAGTATAAGTATAGGCCTGTACATTTATATAGAATAATTCCCATTAAGGGCCTGTATAAGATCTTAATAATAAAAACGTCTAACAATACTGACACAATTAGGCCTACAGTATAATATATGTATATCTGTATTATACCGCATCCTACAGTCTAGAAGACTCTAGATATTATTATGTAAACTGACTCACATCACATGAGATATTATGAGTTTGGAAATTCAAATTAGATTGCTTGCTGCTCGTATTTGGCAAGTAGTAGTGCAACAGAAAATGGTTAAATGTGTCAGGAGGGATGTGTTAAGTGAAATAAATGGTTGAATTAACCAAACCCTGATGGAGTTGGAGAGGACTGAATGGCTGCAGGCCTGAGATGGATGGATTGGTGACCGCTGTCATACACGATGCTGCAACCAGTCAGCACAATCTGTTCATCCCCGGTTGAGTGAAAGGATAGGGAGTTCCCGTTCCTCGGTGCGTCCACGTCACCGATAAATAATGAGGGAATAATAAACAGTTAACCACCTGTCGGACCCGCGGCACAATGGGACGGCCCATAGAGAGCCTCTCATGCATGGGTAACATATTTACTCAGCCCCTTTCACTTAACGAAGCAGAAAGAGACCCAAAACAATGGTTAAGTTCATCTATTTGGTAAACTCGCATTGCCCTGTTGAAAAAATCCGAAAATATTTGGATATAATGTACAATATGTTGTCTATATTGTTCATATGAATATATATATATATATATATATATAATTATATATATATATATTGAATTATATATATATATATATATATTCATTCATTTAGGAATGTGTGTTTAAAATTCAATTTTCTGGGTAATCCCTATAAATAATTGGATAAAATGTAATTCGGATACCATAAGAGATAAAATCAGTAATCCCTATGGGGATAGGCCTATCATAAGTGACCATAAACATATTTAAGTGGTGTTAATATGAATATTAATAAAACGTTGAATATTGTAGGAATATAATCATGATCCGATAAAATAGTTAAATGCAGCATGACACCACTATAAACTTTTGAATGATAATGATATTAATAATAACAATTAGCATTGAATATAGTTTTCGATAGGCTATGTGATGATGGGCTACACAATAGCCTACTACAAATTATACCATAATGCCATAGCCTATATTTGAAAATGGGTGAATCCAATGATGATTATGATAAAGTGACGAGACTTTAGTGGTCGCTAACAAGGGGGAGGGGCTGTTGTTGGTGGTAATATTTTAGAGATGTGCTTTTAATGGCCTTAATTCAGCCGCAGCCAGCTGTTTTTACTCGGCCTGGTAAAGGAGCGGGGACGTGGCAAGCTTGCAAAGCTCGTAGAAATTAGTCTCGGTCAGCCTGAGCAGCCTATGCTTCCTGCTAACCATCTGCTTACGGCTCACAAAAGGAGGATTTCGGGCAGCCAAGTAAAGGAATACGGGCTCATAAAAAAGCTTTGAAGGTCTCGTTACTCAGTGGAGGTGTAGCTGGTGACGGAGCGCTGTGTTAACGCCTGTTTGCGCGTCCTGCGCTCATAAAGCAGACGCACCTCTGATAAGCGTCGACCCTCTCCAAAGGATCATTTCACGGAGGCGTTCCCTTTTAATTAGCGGATTGTGGCCACTTTATATTAGATTGATGTCGAACCACTTATCGTTATTTGAGCTGATCCCAAATGATGCAAACTGACTGCTTAACTTAAGACAGACATCTCCCTGTGTGAATAAAACTGATGGTGGAAAGTGGATAAACCGTGTGCCTTTAATAAATTATTAAGTAAAAGTGTACTTACACACAATTAAAATAAAAAAAGTAGTTTTTCTTTAGATTTGTTTTATCAACTGGTATTTAAAACACATTTAAACGACATAATGGCTCAAATAAAAATATACAAAAAAATATCATAACTTATTTGATTTGGTAGCCTATCAGGCAATAATAGCTACACACACTATAAATACTTAATTTATAATATAGGGATATTGTGGTGTTTTTTCGTTAAGTGGAAAAAGAGCATAAAATGAAAATATGATAAAAGTATATACTTGTATTTATTTTAGTTAAAAGAACAAGCTTGTTGACCGTATTTAAAAAATATTAACCCAAAACCTTTGTTAAAGGGCAACAAAATGCATACAAAGTCAAATACATTTAAATAAAAATATTGGGCCCTAAATTATTATTTTTCGTTTCTTAAATTAATGTTTATCTAAATTAAACTTTTGTTTGATTGTATTTCTTTTTTAAATGTGGTTTCTAACTGGCGTTTTTTTCCCTCTGGGTCTGCAATGCATTTCGCCTGATTGCTTTGCTTTAACGGGTTTTCAGGGCAAAGCTGACAGAACACGACTATCAGGCTCCAAGTCGCTTTAATAAGAGTTTTATATGGGGTCTCAGTGTCCGCTCATATGAATGCATTTTAAATCAAATCACAGATGCACTTTTATTCAGCCGGTTAAAATAGCAGAACAAAACCGTCTTTAGAAATAAAGCTTTTTTTATTCCTCTGGGCTTTTTTCTGAAGCGGGGAGAGAAAGGCCGAGGGGCGCCTCCTCCGCAGCTGAGGGTGACAGTTAGTTCATGGTTAACAGGATCAGGAGCGCACGGCTCAGGCCGCACACTTCTCCTGCACTGAGCTGCGGCTCTGCGCACTGAATGAAGCCCATGCAAAAAGAGTGATATTTAACACATCTGTTAAAGCGTTTTGATAGCAGAAATCCGTTTAAGACATTATTCCATGACGAGGGCCAGATTGAGTGTTGAGAATCCTATGAAACCCTAAACCTGATTTACATCTGAGATGCTGCGCAGCGTCTGCAACTATAGTGTAGCCTAGATAATGTAGATTTAACAATGCAGTTAAATCGCTTATTCTATTAATAGTATTACATTGTTTAAAGCGTACTCTTAGCAGCCTGTAGGTGTTTATTCCTGCTGCACTGAAAAAAAAGAATAAAAGAATAATTTAACATTTTAACGAGGAGGCTATATTTTTTATATCCTGCATAACAGAAAGAGAGCCTGAATGGACAAGAATAAAGTATCCTCTTTATACTCATTAAAAGTCCCCATATAATGACTGGATCTGTAAAGATTGCTCTTTAATTAGGCAGCTTGCCTCTGCCAAACAAAACAAATTGAAAGGAAAGTGGTCAACATGCAAAATTGATGACTGAGCCTCTTTTGTGGGGGGGACTTTGTGTGTTGCTTGCTTATGAAGTCTAATGCAATCATAAATTGCGTCCCTGGGCCAATCAGCGGGCCGGGGGATGCGGCATGAAAGCGACCCATGTGGAGGACTTTGTTGAGCCCCATTGTTGAGGCTGTCAGCCCTGAGCGGAGGGCCGGGGGGGGGCGGCGGCTATAAAACTCCTCTCCCCAGAGTGAGGAACCAGAGGAGTTAGCAGCCATTCACACGACTGATTCTCTCCCAGCTGACCTAAGGAGTATCTCTGATTCCACCCAGTGATTTTTTAAACCGGGACCATGATGATCCCAAGCGTCCTCGCGCCTCCAGCCTTCTACCCGGGTCTGTACCGGCCGGCTCTGCCGCTGCACCACGCGCTGCCCTCCGGCTTCCCCACCCACTCCAGCTTTCTAGTGGAGGACCTGTTGCGGATAAGCCGCCCCACAGCCTTCGTTAACCGGACTGTCCCGTCAATGTGCGCCTCCCTGCCCACAGCCACCACCACCCTGTCCTTCAGCGGCGCGCATACAGAGCGCGCATTGGCCACGACCGCGTTGACGCGCGAATCGTGCTCGCCGAAAATGTCGAGCAGCAAGGACCCAACTTTTCTCAAGTTTGGCGTGAGCGCCATCCTCGCACCTTCACCAAAGACAGGTGAGAACCCAGACTTCCTGCTTTCAGTTCGTAGTGATGTGTTTAACTTTTAGATGGATTTCTGTCATTCAGGAATGATTGAGTAACATGTGTGATGTTCCTCCACAGTGTCCTCACATCCTGCATTCCACAGCCAGCACTCCAAGAGCTTCCCCTTCCCCTACTTTGATGGGACCTTTCACCCCATATTCAGGACTCCTTATTTACCAGGTAGGCACAACTTTTACGACCCATCCTTTTTCAGCCTTCGGGAATCTGTCTGAGCTAATTGCATTTAGATGTAAAACACTCTGGCACCCTGTCAAATATTTTTTTACCAGAGAAGAAGAAATCACTGTCTTATTAATGGGGACCGTTGGCCTCTGCCAGGACCCTGCACCCACCCCCTAATTAACCAATTATCCCAAATCGTCACGCTCTAAATTTGAGGCGGGGTGGCGAGTTGGAGTCCCCCCTGCTTCCCATTGGGGGCGTTTTGGCATTTCCCTGGCCCCGCGTTTTCCCACAGAGCCCGGGGGGCCACCGGGCCGCTGTTGCGGGCAACAATGCCTTCAGCACCATGACCAATTTGGTCAGCTCCCACCGGGCGAACCACCCACACACCCCGGAGAGTGACTTTTACCAGGGGGGCCAAAGGCGTGAACCAGTCATGCACTAATTTCCCTATTAGGCGCTATTGACTGTGTTCAATATTCTCACAAGACCACATAGCGCGTCGTTGTTCCTGATTCTGCTGCGGCCACAGGGCACATACTGTCAGGGAGACGTCCAGTTAGCAGCGTGCACACAGGGACAGTGTCTCGCACCGTGGGAGTTAAAGTAAAGTTTCTAACTGCATCTGTAATGTCCCAGCCGGGGAAAGTCTGTCCCTGCATGCCCATAGGATAGGTTACCACTGACCTCCATCCTCTCTGTCTCTGTGCCCTAAACGTTTATTCTCCATGCGGGCCAATCAACGAGTTGAGATAAAGAATAATCTCTTAGAAAAGTCTATAAAGTCGCTAGTCCGTGCTTTCATTCAGGCACATCATAATGGTGATGGAGTCTTTTCATGGGCTCAGCTGAATGCCTCAACAATACAACTCCAGCGTCTTGAATAGCTTTTCGTGTTCATTTAATGAAAATGATTTGAAGGCAAGGAAGAGAAAAAAAAACCCGCCATTCCCCCCCACCCCACGGGCATCAGTATTCTGGTATGCAGTTGTGTTTAGTTTGAAAGTGTAAATCTCCTTTTGTTGCGATAATATATGGCCTTCGCCGCCTGTCCCGAGTCTTTTCTGCGTTAGTTCATTACTACACAATTACCGTTCACGGTTTATTAACTCCTCTATCCGCCCTCACAGGGTTCCTTAAAGGATATGCTACCTCTTTACCATACCAATGCGGTTGGGGTCCGGCCAATGTGCTAATTAGTCACCTCGTGCCATTTCACTCAAAACGGAGACGTATTGCACAGTTCCAAAGGGAAAAAAAACAACTTCCAATAATAACCAGTTGAGAAGTATAGCCTTAAGGGACATACTTTTATTTATTTAGATGCCTGAGGTTTTGAGTTTAGATTTAAAAGGGTCATTTGAGGCAGAAAAGTGGTTGTTTTTTTATTTTCTGCGAACTTTTTTCTCTCTAAGATGTTGCAAATATATATATTTTTCTAACATATTTTATTCTCTTTGTTTGTATTGCAGTATCTTCATCCGTTATTCCCATTCCCGGGACCTTTTCGTGGCCCCTGGCCGCCAGAGGTAAACCCCGGAGAGGAATGCTGAGGAGGGCGGTGTTCTCCGATGTGCAGCGCAAAGCTTTGGAGAAAATGTTCCAGAAACAGAAATACATCAGCAAGCCGGACAGGAAGAAGCTGGCATCGAAGCTGGGCCTGAAAGACTCACAGGTAAAAATCACAAATGTTCAACATGTCGTGCGTAATTTCCACGTAAAGACGCTGTTGTGTGATCCACTGCAACTGACGCAGAGCTCTTTAACTCACAATCTCTTCCTCATCCACAGGTGAAAATCTGGTTCCAGAACCGGCGTATGAAGTGGAGGAACTCCAAGGAGAGAGAGCTGCTGTCCTCCGGGGGCTGTCGCGAGCAGACCCTGCCCACCAAAGCCAACCCGCACCCGGACCTTAGTGACGTGGGCAAGAAGTCCTCAGCCGAGGAAGATGAGGAAGAAGAGTTTGCAAGAGAGAGAACGATTGCAGGGTCCAGCATCTCCTCTCCATCTTTTTCCAGCAAGCACTCGGACTTCTCAATGTCAGACGACGAAGAAATAACAGTATCTTAATTTATTTTAAATATAGAGAATATAACCCATGTTTTGTTTTCATATGAGACTGTGACCACATCTGTAAGAAGCTGCCGGCCTTGAAGGGGACCCCATAAATGTCATTGTTAAAAAAACAAAAAACACTCGTGTTTGTTGCTTCAGGTGCACTGCAGGATCCACTTCTTAGACACAATTTGCTGTTTTGCACAGCTTTGTTCAATTGTACAGTATTTTGTACAATTTTGTATGGACATTTTATGCCAAGAATATTGAGTTCCTTTTACCTTGACCTTGAATAGAGTTGTTTATTGAAAATGTAGCTATTTCGTTAATAATTTATATGAATTTGTTTAATAAGTATGTTGTATTATGTGCTGTATATATGTTTATTTCACACGTTTTGTACAAATACCAAATAAAATTGTGAACATTTCAAAGTCAAGACTATGTGTGTATGTATTTTTATAAAAAAACCGTTTGACAACATTCAATCATAAATAATCATTACTTTTATTAAATCACAATAACTTAAGACTAGTACAGTGAGCCCAGGACAGACCAGCGATGACAAATGGCATCAATCTGCTCTGGTGTAAAGACACTGTACACAAAATACTCCTTTTCAAGTACTGTAACAAATCAGCTAGAAAAAAGTCATCAAAATGCTGCGAGATAATCATCTATTTACAAAATTATGTTACATATCAAAAAATGTACATAGCAAAGAAGGCTAAACATTCATTGAGTTTGTGAGTAATAAACTGACAGACTGGTCAAATGCTTGGACAACATCCACACTCCTCAGGCTCTACTGAAGACAGACAGAGAATCAGTCTCTTTGTGCTTACAAGGACCATAACAGAGTGTGTCTAAAGCTACACAGACACACCCGGACAAGAACATGGGCCACAAATCTGAACAAATCCTCACAAATATAGTTCCATGCTGTATGTCTCAGCAGTGCTGAAAATGTAGGGATCGAGCGCATCAGATTTGGGCTTCCATTGGGAGTTCAGAATGAGTGTTGCATAGGATCTGTGACAAAAACACTGAACGCGATGGAAGCCGCGCTACACGACGTGACCCCGGATTTAATCGTATGCCTGCCCTTCCCAGAAGGCAGTCAGGGGGGTTTAAAGCAAATAAAAAGGACAATATTCTTTATATTCTAAGCCACATGGCAAACTGTTTTAACATTATCATCCAACCACAAGTACCTTTATACTTCAGATTAATTATATCACTATAAACAAAGCAGCATACACTAGTTTTCACTTAATTAGTTCAACATGTTTGTCAGTTTTATCATCACAAATCACATAAAACAGACTGCACAGTCAAAGGATGGGGATGAGGTATAAAATCAACATGTCTTAAACGTCCCTTCCCCAAACAACCTGCAACACGTTCTGATTTGGAGCACCATAACACATCTATATATTTTTTCTTTCTCGCTAGTGGTCCAAATATTTACACCAGCTTCACAGCACTGGGTCACACATGCATACGACTTATTTTGAAACCCAAAGTACTGCCTCTCATTCACGCCTTAATCGCATGGCATCGGTGTCTGATATGATGAGAGGTCGAGGAGAGTCGACTCGGAGCCCTGTGAGTTTACAGCCATTTAGACAAATAAAGGATCGGCTAATGCTCGTAGTCTGTTAGAAAAGAGTAAGGCATTGTTTGTTAGGATTCAGTCCAGCACCAAGAAAAGAGACTTTGTGCTACAGCAGCCTGTTTGGGCCAATGTGCATGGAGATCTCCGAGGATTATAAGGTGATCCAAGCAAGGACTTATAAATAGTAGAGACATTGTTTGTGAAGTTACACAGAAAGATACAAAACAGATCGAAACGGGTAAATCTAACCATGGTGAATTTTATTTTCCCAATTAGTGCCCTTACCTCCTGAAAGTCTTGTAAAGGGAATTTATCAATTAGATCTTGTCCTTGACTTTAAATGTCGGAGTTAGTAGTGTTTTAGTTGTGTTTTGGCCAAATAAAATGATGCATTTAATACGTATGTTGTTCTGCACTATTTCAAAGGCACTGCTTTCTGGTAGAACAACAGTGTCTCAGCTATCAGGCTGAACATCAGAAATAGAATACCTTTATTAGTCCCACAGAGGGGACATTTACAACATGCGAACAAATCAAAGGATTGTGGTGAGTATTATTGATTAAATTGTCTGAGCTTGTCTTTTTAATTTTGAAGATGTTTCCACATTCTTCGCTCTGGTGGTGAAGCAGTATTTGCAAAACGTCCTTGTCACGTTGTTTGTATCATGGATTTGCACATACAAACACATCATTTACGTCCACAAAGGCCTTTGTAGATTTAACTCAAAA